GTCCATAGGCCTGCGCCCAACCAGAACACAAACTCAGACAGCACACAAAACAGTGTTTCGGAGAACAGGCTATGCGAGAAAGACAAAGAAGGAAGAATGTACCTTTCAGAGTGATTCCATGCAAATTCACGCCGCCTGAGGTTGAATTTCGTACCAGCTGCTTTACGTCGTGCAGTGACTGTGCGGTCAGGGGAATAGCAAAACAGCGCTCCTGGAAGGCCTCCAACTCCTTGTCTGAGAGGTAGCCGTCGTTGTCAATGTCGCAAATCCTGAATATGCGTGTCAGGGCGCGAATACATTCCGGAGTCAGCTAAAAAATTATTTGCAAAGCTCGTCATTAGAATAATTCAAACCGGAGCACAGAATTGACTCACGAGCGACAGTATAACACATACTTGTTATACTACTCGTGCTAAGTAAGTAGGCATATTTTATTACAATTTAAACTCCAGAAGTTTTTCCCAGCAATTTTTATTCCACGTACTCGACTCATAACCTGCCTCTCCTAATCCCCCCCCTCCCCTAGCGCAGTGACCGGTACATGCCGACCTCCCATGCGAGCAGTGTGAAAATGGCCATCCAACTCTACTATTTTCGTTATCAATGCAATTGTACAGCCCGACGATGAAGTTGCCAAAAAGATATATTTGCCAAATAGACTTATAAAGTTAAACATGAAAGGATGTCGAAAGTCTGTATAAAAAGCACATGTATTCTTCTTTACCGAGTATAGTTTTGCAGGCGATCGAAATGACGTGCATTCAAAAACCGTCAGCTTGGCGCATCCGAAAGTATAGAGGACTTGCCGCAGGATCATCGACGGTACAATCTCACTTAAGTAATCTTTCGTAATCGAAAACACAATTCAGAAGTTCAATCAACATTTAAGGAGATCGGTCACTCACTTGGAAATTCTCAGTTCATGGGCAACTCGAACGTTATGCTTACTGTATTCCGGAAAAAAGCATTTTCTCCAGGCATAAGAAATTGCAAAATAGGACAGAAATCAACTTAACGTTATATTGAGGACATTTCCAAAGCTAAAAATTGGAAACAAGAAAACATCCTTTTTCTAGTAGGGAATATTAAGACAAACAGTAGAGGGAACATATTTAGGCCCATTGAGGCTAGATTTTTAAGTCCTCACAAGCCAATTGACAGAAAATGCAAGAACCCATTTGATTATTTTCGCGCGATAATATTACATTTTGTATTTCGGTGTTCAAAGGCTGCAATAAAAACCTACACGAAAGCTGACACGTGTAGCCACGCCCATCTTTTTGGCGTAAGGAATCGCAAAAAAACGTGCAAGATGAAGTAGCCGGTTAGAACATATAGCGAGATGCTTATTGCGCGATATACGTTCGATCAATACGCAAGTTCGAAACGGAACAACACCGCAGTGTTGACATTTTAGTAGGATTTTGGTATTTGATCAAACGTGGCACAGTAAAACCGATTAGCAGAGTCTAACAGTGAACATAGATGACGAAAAACATTCAGCAGGAACAGAAAAGTGAGTGTTTTATTTTGAAGGATAGACAGACACACATACAGAACCCCCCCTTGGCGTGCAACGCTCGCCTCTCCTGGCTGCACGCACCAGTGTCTACCTAACCCAATTCGGTCTGACCAATCGTCTACCTGTGGCTGACTCACAGATGGCCGCGCTGTGGGCAATGTGCTGCCTCCGCGCTCTCACACTTCGGATGCTCGCTCATCCGACGGTCAACTTTCTCCAACCTACGCTCTGTACAAAATGCATACTATTCTGCCAATAGTAGAAAATATGCGAGTTTCAGGAGGCAGTTCAGAAGAAGGAGATGCGATCACTGGAACAACAATTTTATTGGTCTGACGTTTCGAAGTCCGTCGGGAATCTTCAATCATAGGTGATGATAACATAGTCACGGTCATGCGCAGATAGGGTTGAGAAATGCACAGTCTGCGCGGTATTCATAGTTCATTGTGATCATCCGCGTGTGTGCGTAATAATTGGTCACTTCTGTAGGCACCGCTTGTGTCTTAATTGATGCGATACTGGCTTGACATTTCGTGTTCGACTCACTAATTGCCACAGTGGCCTTATCAGCGTCGGATGCGGGCCTGATAATTGCGTGACAATTATGCCCGCTGTCGGCAGAGTTGTTGCTGCGTCCGGCCCTTCCCACCCGCGCAATTTTGTTAATCAATGCATACGCAAACGAGAGCAGAAGAAACTACATCTAACTGGTCCAAAAGTTTGGCGAGGTCTTCCGTACGTGAAGAATGTATCGGAAGCGGTCAGCCGCCTACTCACCCCTCTTGGAGTTGGAGTTGCGCACAGGTCAGAAGCAACCATCAGGCGCCTGGTCATGAGACCGAAAGATCCACTGCCACGGCAGGAAACGGCTAGAGTCGTTACCCGGATCTGATGCAGTTGTGGACAAAGCAACTGTCGGGGAAACCGGAAGATTACTCCGGAC